GGATTTTGGTGGGCTTGGCAGTTGGGATCGTGCGTAGTAAGCATACCAATACCGCATCTGATAGAGTCGATGCCCGATGATGATGCTTTCGTTTTGCAGCAGCGAATGGGAGACAAATTCCTTCCCTCACTCACACATTGTCGTATTCATTCACCGGTACATGACGACATCGGTCTCGTTTCAGTTTAAACTTGAAGATGCGATTTGAACACCGGAATTCATTGCATCGCGTCATGCAGCGCCAGAGCAGTGCCAGCTTGAGCTTCTGCGTATGTTGCAGTTCAAGGTCCACCTGGCTTTCCACAGTGCCGTTCTGCCGTTTTGGAAGATTTCGAAGATGGACGTCGCCTTCGATTTCGCGCGTCTTCGACCCAATTTTTCGAACCGGCGCCGTCCTTCAGATCTTATGCAGTCGTATTTCTAAACGTGCCACGAAGCTCTAACAAGATGCGCTCACTGCTCACGGGGTCGTCCGCGTCGCACGATGAAGACTATTCGGGCTACTCAGACGACAAGTCCGTGCTTGGACGCGGTCTCCTCTCCGACAGTGTCACGCCGACGTCGTACTACCAAAGCTCTCGCCACCTCAAATTGCTGGCCGTCACGGTGTTTGTCGTGTGCGTCGGCCTCGTGCCCTTTGTGGCCTGGCCATCTCGGGTCGAGCTCAGCTCACCGACACCCAACCTACGCTCTGAGCTAGCGTTGCCGGTTGATCAAGGTATTTCGGCCGTGACCTCTTCGCAGCTCGACGTCGCCGAGTCCACGTCGGTCACGCCGACTCCCACTGCCACAGCACAAAAACTCATGCCTTCGGTGACGCACGCGAAGCCGACGACCGAGTCCTCGATGATCCACGTCGTCGCCACGACATTGGACCCGGAGGAGCCAGAGAGTACCGAGTCAATGCACGAGGTACACCACGGCAAGCCATACCCGGACGAGTGCGCCGACGAAGTGAGCGCGTTGCATCCTGGCGACCATTTTGTTCTCGAGCATGCGTCCGAAGCATGCAAAGCTGCGTACAAGGCGATGCTGCACGACGCTGCCCCCTCAAAATCGTCAGGTGATGAGGAGTCTGTGCCCGCACACGAGGAGGCGGGGACTGTGCATGTTGAGTCGGCAGTACCGAACGATAAAGCGACAGAGGACGCCGATTTTGACGCTGATGAAATGGTGAAGAAACTCCAAGCCATGGAGCACGAAATGGAGTTACTGCGCCAGCGTCTAGCTAACGATGAAGTCGCCATTGCCGCTGCGTCGTCGACAACGGACCCGTAAGCTCAAAACCTAAACTAAAGTTAATCTCGATTAATACCACAAATTCCGTCTATCCAATATTTTAGCCCTCCAAGTCTGCAATATTGGCTCGGAACCCGCACCGACAACTTCACGGACCACCGCACCGGGGCGCACAAATGATTCCCACACCGTCGATTGAAAAATGTTACCCCAGATCACTCAACTTTGGATGCATGCAGCAGCTACAATCTTCACTCGTGGCGACTCACGCTTGGTGATTTAGCTCGTCCATCGCCCGAGCGGCGGCTCGAGCCACTCGAGCTGCCTGTGCGAGCCTCGAAACTAACCCAAAAGCGTCCATGCAACTTGGTAAAAACCATTTCGTGCGAAATACCGCCTCATCATTGATTGCTCGAGCACGGTTGTCAACAAGACTGCCGTTTCTAGCGCGGGGATCGATGATATCGATGTTTAACCCACAGCAAGGGTTTAAACGCGCGTTTTTGTGAAATGAAAGCGTTAAAACTGAAGCGTCGATGCAAAAAGGCTGCTCCCAATCCCTCTACATTGGATGCATGTAGCGGCTGCAGTCTTCGTCCGTGCCTCGTGGTATGGCGGGTCCACCACCCTAGCAGCGGTTCGAGCCACCCTGGTTGACTGTAGAAGTGTTGAGACCGATTCAACCGACCGCTTCAACCTGGTAGAAGGCCAACACTGCGTTCTATCAACGAATACTTTTGAAGGACTCTGTTCTTCACCACCAAACGTGGCATGCCGATCGAAGAAACGGGTCGTAAGAATGTGTAGATTGCGATGGCTCGTTGGATTGCAAGGAGAAAGTTCCTACTGCGTCTTCACCTGGAGACACTGTTTACTCCATCCCGTGCGTCGTATGCAGTATAAAACCAGAGTCGACTAGATCAGATCAAAGTGGCTGTCGTCAACCGTGCACGCCTCGGCTTTCTCAAACGTGTACGACGCACGCACGCTGAGTAGAATCGGGACTTGAAACTTGGTGGGGAACCCCGGCGGTAGTTTCTAGCACCACACCAATAAGACAATGGATTCTACGAAGATATGTACCAGCTCGAAAAAGTCGCGGAGGCTTTCGAAGTGCTCGGCCCGAGTCGAGAGAAACTGCGCAACCGGCAAAAAGTCTTGCACCTGCGCGAGCATGAGCCACGTTTAGCAACTGAAGACTACCGTGAATGGGAACGCTTCTGCCATTGTCACGGTCCCCTGGATGTCCTTGGTCATGTGCGACTCGGAAGGAAGTACGGTGAGCGCCCGGTGCTGAGCGTGCGGCGTCCCGTCGTCCGTCGTTGGAAAGTACGATTGGAAGGACGTAGCTTGCTGTCGAGGCTGCGGCATCCGATAGAAAACCGCAAGCGCACTCTCGTCGTCGCTCACGTCGGAGGCAGCCGCAGCGCTGGACGCAGGCGACGGTGCAGGGCGCTGGTGCTCGATCGAGTAGGTGACCGAGACAGATTTCTTCTTACTCGACGTCGCGCGTCCCCAGGAGAAGACAGCGTGACCTGCCTGCGTCGCCTGCAGCTGTCCGTTGGGAGCGTTGGCAGCGACGACCTTCTTGTCGCTGGACTCGGCCGCACAAAAGGTGACGTGGAATGCCACGGATGCAAGCGTCTTGGTGTCGTAGTGCCAATGCACCACGTCGCCTGGAAGCACCTGCAAGTGCATCTCCATCGGCTGGTCCGCCAAAACGAGCTTGTTGCTGGGCGACGCTTCCACCTTCTTTTTCGTTTTCTTTGACTGGTGGAGCTTGGCGAAGAATGTGTTGGCTTTTGTCAAGCGCTCGTCCGGTGCGGTTGTCGGACGCTCCCAGTGCGGCTGCACCGGCGACCGGACGCGGAGGTGGACGCGGGCGTGGAGCATCTCGTACTTGCTAATACAATGCTTATAGAGACCAATCGACAAGAGGCCACGTACACGCCGGGCCAGCGTCGCTTGGACTTTTGGAGATGCAAAAGCGGCTTCTTCTTGGGCTGGAAGACCATCTACAGGGATTTTCAAGGTGCGAAGTGCAAAGGAATGTCAGATACCGAAGCGACGTCGCTCGTGAACGTCGATGTCTTGCACGTGTAGAGCAGCTGCAGACCCGTTTCAATGTCTGCCATCGAGGGGTCTTCCATGGACCGTGTTGCGTCGTACATCTCGTGCGCCTCTCGGTCAATGGTCGCCACGTGCCCTAGAAAAATCAATTTCGCGGTCGTCAAACCTCGAGCCTACCGCGCGTGTTGGGCGACGTGCGCAACAGGTGGGACATGTGCCCTCGCTTCCACGACGTATTTTGAAAGTCCTTGAGACTGCAGTCGACGCGGATGAACGGACCCTTTTTCCAAATGCGCAACACGTCGGACGGCAGCGCCTTGGAGACAAGCGGCACCCACGACGTGAGCTCCACCTAGTACCAATAAGTGAGTGCACAATGTTGCCGTTGCGGCCACGGACGCGAATTTCAACGTAAAAGTCGGGGATCGACAGCAAGACGCTGTAGAGGGCGATCGAGCGCGCCGTGAGCTGCGCGAGCGTTTGCTTTTCGGCTACACACAAGACAGATGCGTCATGGACAACGCGACACTATTAGTATCGTGGGATGTTCGTACCGTGGACAAACACCTCGGCCACGAGGCGATCGTCGTCGCAGAGCACCGCGTTCTGCATGCACGTCCATCCGCGCGCGTCTCTGGCGTGTGTCGACGCGCCATGGTGCTACGCTCGGTCATTCGCCACGTTGGTAATAGAATGTATGTGCTTACAAGGAGACGGCGGACGATGGCCCGCTGTGTCGGCTGTATGCAGCGCAGCGCGAGCATGAGCGGCGTATTGCCCGACTCATCCCGTGCCTCGAGAAGCTCACTCGCCGCGCCCGCTTGAAGCAGCGCATCAATAGCATGGAAGTCGCCGTCCTACGCAGCTAGCATGAGCCACTTTGCATGAACGACGGCGAGGCGTGGACCCAGATTGCATGGTGCAGCGCCGTCGTCATCGCCGCTATCAGAGACCGCCCGCGGAATTTTTGGTAGCACACGAATCGAAGTTCGAAGGCACGGTATCCGGAAAGGCAATCTCAATGTGCCAGCCACGTCGAGCTCACGCCAAGTCTCGCCAGCATGGCAAGCCTTCGAGCACCGTGCAAGCAGTGCGAGCTGTGGCTACATAATACGTCCATGCCAGTACCAACGATGGTGCTCGACGACACGGATGCGTATGACTCTCTGCATCTGTTTGCTGAGCCTTGGAGAAAGATGCTCCAGCACACCGCTGGATTCGTCAGCCGGAGCTGAAAGCTTGGACACTCGCATTTGCGCGGATGACGCAGTCGCCCAGTGCGGCAATCGAGCGCTGCTGCACGCGCTATGGGCAATGTGATCAAATCGCGTGATTACGCGCGAAGATCCAGCGCACTTGGGTCGTCGCCGGCCATGATTGGGTGTCATCGCCCAATGAACGCCAGCAATAGCGTGTGACACGACGCGAATCGAGCCGCCATCCGTCGACCAGCGAGGCGGCCACGCTGAAACGCTCCGAAGACGCTTGGCTATCTATGGACCGTACTTTCTCGTTTCTGCGCCAACGGCGACCGCGCCGCGATACGCATAGCATGGAGCGCCCCGCGGCCTTCGCCGACATCTCGGACCAGCACGGCGTCTGTCCCAAGAACACGTTTGTGAGCAAGCGCATGCGCATCCAGCTGCGGCACGTGGGCTGGATGAACATCGTCCTCCTCGTGCCAGCGATCCTCTTCAACATGTACAGCTACGACTACTACACGGGCGACAACGACGGCCTTGCTGCCTGCCTCATGTACAATGACGTGCGCGTCATCGTGCGTGTCATTCTCTGGGCGACGAGCGCCATCTTGTTCCTGCCGACGACGGGCCTCAAGCCGTTCAAGCTCTACCGCGTCCGGTACGAATCACTCACGTCGCGTCTCTGCCAGCGCCTCCACGCTCTGTCGACGCCGCCGACCAAACCGCCGACCAAACCGCCGACCGCGCGCCCGTACGTCGTGCGCACCAACTTTCTCCGCCTCTGCGAGGTCACGGCGCTCTGCCAGATCGCGCTGCTCGCATTCACGATGGTGTACATTCCGCTTGGCATGTTTGAAGGCTCGTGGACGTGGAACTGCTACGCTGGTACATGTTATCGTTCTAGGACGCCTCGTGTTGACAGCAACGTAGCGCTGCCGCGGGGTCTTGTGTACATCCTCCACGCCTCGTCGTTCATCTTGTCGATCTGGGCGTACCTCGTGACTTGGGACTTTCTGGTTATGTTTCATCAGCTGCGCACGCACCTCCTCTTCCAGCACTGCGTCTTTGGCGACGCGCAGCGCGCCCGCGACGGTCCGTTTGGGCGGTCGCCCAAGGAGGTGCTGCGCCACTGCATGTGGATGGCGATCCGCGACCAGAACCTCGACGCGCTCAAGCTCGCTGTGGCGCGCGCCAAGGAGCTAGACCCAACGTTTGCAAAGACGTGGTTTTGCGGCGCCAAGATCCGCTGCATCAAGTACTTTGCGCGGTCGCAGCACAACCCGCTACACTTTGCCATCAAAACGCGCCAAGCCGCCGCCGTGACCTTCCTCCTCGAGGTGCGACGACACCCACTTATGTCGTACACGTGTGGTACTATGAAGAGTATTTTGCAATCTAGTCGGGCTTTGACCCGAACGCGCTTGAGAAGGTCCAAGTGGCCGAGTTTGGCCTCCGCAACATCTACCAGGACGTGTTTTACTTCTTCTCGCACAGCCACCGCGAACCGCCGAGCTTGTACGGTCCACGCGGTTGGTTCAAGCACACGCTGCTGTCGCCGCTGCACGTCGCCGTCATCCGCAGCGACCACCAGCTCGTGACCGACCTCTTGGTCGCCGGCGCGGACCCGAACGTATCAGCGCAGTCGTCGAGCGCCATGTACGCGACGCCACCGCTCTTCTGGGCCACCAACGTCGATGTGACGCGTACGCTGCTCGAGCACGGCGCCAACCAACTGTTTGTCCAATGAGATTTGACCTCAGTGAGCTTATGAGACTATCCCACTAGGTTTGTGCCCAAATACGGCTTCTACATGACCGCGTACGAAGACGCGGTGATCCAAGGACGCCACGCGATCGTTCGGCTGCTCGAGAGCTGGGGCGGCGACATTGCGCTCACGCCGCTCCACGACGCCGCCGCGCAGGGCGAAGCCGAGCGCATGGATCCGTTTCTGTCGCCCGTCTCGGTCAACACGCTCGGCGAGCAGTCCAACGGTACGCTCTAACCCAAGCTTCGAAGAATAAACGGAGGACTAGGGTTGTTTCGCCGGACGCCGCTGCACTGGGCGGCCATCCGCGGCCAAGTGGAGACCGCGCGTGTGCTCTTGGAAAACGGCGCAAGCGTCAACGCGTTCGACACGTGGGGGCGCACGCCTCTGATGTGGGCGTGCTACCTCAACCACGCACCACTCGTCGAGGAGCTTTTGGTCAATTGGCACGCGGACCCGAGTGTCGTCGACTACCTCGGTCAGTCGATTCCATGTCTCTGCGCCAGTCGCGACGGTAGTTTCTTGGAATACTCTTGCATTGGCGACTCCGGCGATAGGAATTGATACCGCAATCTTTCGACTCCTGCGCGAGAACGGCCTCGGCGACTTTGGCGCGCTCGAGAATGGAGACTCGCCGCTGCACATTGC